TTGTCTTTTTCTCTTTTTTTCCATCTAGTCTTCCTGGAGCTAGTCTTGCTCAGAAACTCCTATTTCCCATACCCAACAAACTGGGTACTCAACCTCTCAGCCCCTCTCATTATGGAATCCCTACCTGGTATCTTTTGTGGCCACAAACACCACAGGATTGGGAGCATCAGCTGGGTTTAGTTTCTGACGTTTAGCTGCTGGCTGTGAGCTTGAACGAATCCCTGAGGCCAGAGGCCTTCCATTGGCAGAGAAGGGGACCCCTGCCCCTGCCATCTGGAAAAGGATGGAATAGAGCAATGAGGGAGGAATTCCCCTCCGATTCCTATCAGAAACAAAAGTCCACTCAATTCAGCTTGGCCTACGCCAGTCTTTCAACTCACAGTCTCATAGGCCCGTTTCACCATAATTCCTCCCAAGCCCCGGTTTTGGGTCAGCTGGTTTCTGTTGATTGGTGTCTTGGTGCCCCGAGGTGTTTTTGGTTTCAGAGGTGCCTGGGCCACTGTCGGGAAAAATAAATAAATAAAACAGAAATTTCATACCTTCTCCCTATGTAATTTCCCTTTCTCACCTCCATCTCTTTGGGCCAGCAGTTTGCCTAAGCATTCTCAAAAGTAATGATAGGGGAATGCTCTGAGAAGCTATTTAACAATACTTTCCACCCCCAAAATCATATGAATATGATATTATCAAATCAGGTTATAGATTTGATAATATAGATATGAAAAAGCATTATAGGGCTGAGGATGTAGCTCAGTGGTGGAACACATACCTAACATGAATGCATGAGTCCCTGGGTTCCATCTCTAGCACCACAAAAATAAAGAAATAAAATACACACCCACAAAGGTATATAGTCAGTTAAGACTAAATCTCTTGGAATCAGTAGGAAAGAAAAATGTAGAAAGAAAGTTCACAGTAGGTCTGGGAGCCTGACACCACTCTTAACTGTCCATATCCTCTACACACCCTGGATCCAGTCTGGTTCCCCATCCCATACCCAGATCTTTGACGATCGTTGCCAGGGGCAGCCGCACCAAAGGGTGAATTTTCAGTGGAGTCTTGGCAGCCTTAGGAAGTCGAATGGAGCCTACACAAAAGAAGAAAAATTCTGAAGGGGTTTTGTTATTCAGACTTCTTCTGGGGCATGAACCAGGTCTAATCTCCTAAATAATAATAATAATAAAACTTCCGTGGCTTACTATCTCTAAAGTCATTAAACTACCAGAGAAACACTGGTATCTAGACAGAGCACCCCTGAACCCACCACTAGCCCGGCCACTCATGCCCTTACACTCTGCCTTGATGGCATTGGCATTGATAGGGGCATAGGGTCGTCGGGCAGCCCTCCTTGGCTGTAACAGGTCCCTGCACATTCGTCTGGCAAGACGGGTCAGCTTCGTGGTCTGGAGCAGGAAAGTCTGCCTGTTCTTGGCCAGCAGCTTGGCCCGGTTGGCGCTGGTAGTATAGGGGGAGAGACTTTGGGCTTCAGGTCTGGATAAATGTCCCCTCGAGTGTGGCTCCTGGAGGAAGGGCATAGGAAAAAGGGAGACTGTAGATTGGCACTAAGGCTCCCTTTTTTCTTCTAATACCTGCAGAGGGCAATTTATTTCTGCCTGATCTGTTTTGTTCAGTTGATTGATTTTTGTATTTTTTTCCTTTGGAGTACTAGTGATTGAATCCAGGGCCTCTCATGTGCTAGGCAAACTCTCTACTGCTGAGCTACATCCCCAACCCTTTTTATTTTGAGATAAGGACTTGCTAAATTGTCCAAGCTGGCCTCAAATTTGTGATCCTCCTGCCTCTGCCTCTTGAGTAGTTGGATTTATGGGCATGAGCCACACACAGCCATCTGATCTCTTTACTGACACCCCAATATAATGGGCTGCCCAACACTATCAAGCATCCCTGCCCATCACACCATCCCCATGGAAGCAGGTGGGTATTCTGGCCTTTGCCTCAAGCTTATATCACTGTGTTCACTGCTCTCTTCTGCCTGTCCCTCCCATTGATCCTTACTGTGGTGCCCCGAGCAGCTCCCTCAAGCTGGGTTGGGGTCTTCAGTCCCCCATATTTCTTCCAGTAGATCCAACAGGAAGCACAAAGGCGGCACTGCATGTTGGGTGGGCCCCAGGCATACCACTGGGCAGACTGTGTGGCTATAGGAGCATGGAGAGGAAAGGGGAAATTGCTGGTGGGAAACATGCTACCTGAGCCCCTTAGATTCTTGGGCTAGAGCAGGCCTCCCACCCACCCCTAGCATCCCTGTCCCTCCCTGAAACTCACTGTGGCAGCTCTCACAAGTCAGGCCCTTCTGGAATCCAGCCCCATTCAATCCAGGCTTTGAACCCACAGAAATGATCTGGTTAGGGTTTGGTTTAGTGCTAATGAAAAAAGTGGGAGAAATAGGGGAAAGAAGTCAAGGAAAAGAATTCATTTCCACCCTGTCTCTCTCTCTCTCTCTCTCTTTTTTTTTTTTTTGGTACTGCATATTAAATCCATGGGATCTTTACCACTAAGCTATAGTTTTTATGTTAAAAGAAGGTCTCGTTAAGTTGCTTAGGGGCTCATTAAGTTGCTGAGAGGTTGACCTCAGATTTGCAATCACTCTGCCTCACCCTCCCAAGTAGCTGGGATTGCTTTTAAAAAAAAAAAAAATTATATATATATATATACACATATACATATACACATAAAATTAAAAAATTTAGTCCTTGGGATCAAACCCAGGGCCTCATGCATGCTATGCACGTGTTTATCACTGAGTATTCCCAGCCCCTATTTTTATAATTTGATTCTGCCTCCTGCTCACCCCCAACCACTGAGAAAGGCACAGGTTGGAGGAAGAGAAGGAAATCATGCCATCCTCCCCTACCCACCTTACTTACTAGGTAGGGATGTAGACCTGTTTCAGTTTGCTATCTGCTTCAGCAGCTTTCAATCTTTTCTGGAAGAAGGGAAAGAAGAGAAGATTCAGAGGCTCTCAGCAGGGAAGATGCCATCAACTTCAAAGGCAGAGGTGAACAAAAAGCATGTGGTATAGCCTCCCCAGCCCAGACCATACCTGCTGAATATACCGGTCTGTGGTTTTCCACATGTAATAAAACTGAACTATGCTGGCAAGTGACTTCCAGGGTAACTAGGAAGGGCAGGGGAAGGAAAGATGAGCTTGTATCTGGCCCCAGGTCTGGGTTCCCTGACCCACCACCTCTCCCACCTCTCCTTTTAGCCCCATCCACTTACAAAATCCTGGCGAATGTCATTGAAATCCTTCCCATACTTCTCTAGGGCCTCCTCAAAGAGCATAGCCTCAGAGGCAGACCATTCCTCCATCTCATCCCGACACAGCACTGGGCCCCCCTGGGGCACCAGGGTCGACATGGCTTTAGCTAAGTCATAGCCATTCCTTTGCAATGTGTCCATGGCGTGAAACTACAGAGAAAGCAGAGACAAGGCTAAGAACTTAAGTCTCAGCACCACTAGCCTGTTGCTCTTTAAATATTCCTACTTCCTAAGACATTCTCCTCTCCTATTCCCAAGGTCTGCAGATCCCCACAAAGCCCCGCCAGCCCAACTACCCACCAACTTCTGCTCACCAGAGTGATGTCTCGGGAAGCGGCAGCTGCACTCATGTGCAGGCTTGGCTGCCGAATGGAGCTGCTGCAATCTAGGGCTCTTGCAAAGGTCCCCACAGCTCTAAGGGAGATATTGAGAAGTCAAAGAGAAAAGAAGGTGCAAACAGACTGAGGAATTAAGCCATAGGAGAAAAAGAAAAATAGCCATACCAAAAAACAAATAAAGCCCATCTCTAAGAATGGGTAGGGCTCAGAACTATGGCCACACCTCCCCCAGCCCATCTTCCCCATCCACCCACCCCTCACCGGGCCACCACGAGAAATTGATCAATCTGCCGGTCTGTGAGAGGATTGTCTGGGTCCCAGACCTTCATCTCCATCTTCTGTTGGTTCCGATTATCCAATTCTCCTGGAGAACAAACAATGGCATCATCAGGGAGAAGGAAGGAGAGTAACTGGTGTCTTGATTACTCACAATTTCACCTCCTTCCTCCTTTCCGCCTACTTGGAGTCTATCAACCACCTCAACTCTTAGAATTCTCCCAGCTGAGCCCATCTGCCCCTTTCAGGTTTCTAAGGACCCATTCCATCAGAGTCACAGCACAGAGCCTTACAGACTGTGCACTGCATACCCCAGGACATATCACTGTGACTGTGACGTTAGAGAGCCCATGGGAGTTAGATAACCCAGTAGTCATATAGTCTCCCCTGGTGCTTACCCTCTGCCAGACGATCTGGGATCTCAGCTTGGTATTTACAACCAACTCTGATCTCCCCTTGATCAGCTAGAAGTGTCTTCTGCACAGGGTCAAACACCAGTGAATAAAAAAAGCAGTCCTGGAGATGGGGAGAGAAAAGGTAAGCAGGGCAGTAGTCCAAGTAGGCAGGGGAGCAGTGGGGTTTACCCAGAGTTCCCAAGACAGGCAGTCTGTCAACCTTTACCTCTTCACTGTCCTACTTTTCTCCTATCTTTTAGGGGCAACACCCACTCCCCTCCCTCATCTTCTAATACCTCTTTCTCACCTCCTTTTCCAGGTACTGGCTCAAAATATCTGTCTCATTCAAGAGGGTCACACTGCATTTCCCCCTATAGAAAACAGGTTATAGAAAACCTTGAATCAGCCCTTCATTCCATCTCCACAGCATATCCAATATACCACCCCCTCCACTGTATCTTATTTAGAAGAACAAACAGGCCACATTGGTCCTGATCATCCTATACCTTATGTGGGTGGCTGGTAATGATTCAAATTGCCGAGAAAGAAAAAGTTCCCTGTGTTTCAACTGATGTCTCTGCTGCTCCGATACCCCTGGCTGTTTTGATTCCTCCTCAAACTCCCCTAGGACAATAAGGTAGAAAAAAGAAACTAAGTCAGAAAGAAGGCACCCTGGAAACTCTAATCAAGAGAAAACATTTCCTAGCTCAGTTGTTCTCACTCTTCCTGGATATCTTACCCTTACCTACCAGCTTTCTCTCTTAGCCTTATGCCTCATTAAGAAAAACTGTGGTCAAAGAATGCCATAAAAATGCATCCCATATCCAGCTACCAACGTTTAGACACTGCTCAAAGCGCAAATACTGCTACACTAGGCCCAGCAAGAATATCACACTTGGCTCTTTCTTTCTAAACTAGCTTGAGGTCCAGGAACCCAGTAAGATGAAAGAGTATCACACAAGGTTGTGTTTACTAGTTCCTCTTTTCAGATTTCAGGAGATTCTGCACATCACATGCAACCCTAACTATCCCTCCCTTTCTACTTGGCTAATAATAGTTTGTGGGGCTTTCAAGGACAGCACCTCTCAAGCCAGTGCCAACACTTCCTCTCCAAGGAGCTGCAGCTTGCCCTGAAACCTTGGTGGAAAGGGTTAACCTGGCTAAGAGCCAATCAAAGTGGGAGGGGGTAGAAGAGCCTCAGGCCCAGGCTCATTGGTGCATTGTTCCCAACCTCAGGGAGAATGGGGGCGGGGTGCAGAAGGCTCCGCCCCTAGCCTGTGTGCACCGGAAACCCTGTACTAAGGCAAGGGGGACCACACCCCCCACACCCCTTCTGATTGGACAAGGCCAAGGTCAGCCCCTGCCAGATGGGGCTGGAAACCCCAAAGGGCCAGGGAACTTGGTAAGCCCAGCTCTCCATTAACCTCTTCACGACCAAAGCAGCATGGAAAAAGCAAAATAATTTAGGAAGAATAGGAACAAAAAGAAAGAAAACCAAAGCAGGAAAGGGAAAAGACGCTAAGGAAAACTAAAAGAAAAACATTTTAAAAGAAGATGAGAATTTAAAGAGAAAAAAACTAGACAAAAGGAAAAAAGAAGGATGTAAAATAAAGAGGAGGGGGAAAGGGAAGTGGTGAAAAAGAAGAAAAAGTGCAAGAAAACTTTCCAACCAGATGCCACCTTCTTATTTTCTCCCTTCAGTGTAGACTCATCACCTTGTGATTACAAAATAAGCCTTCTTCCCTGTTATGAAGGCTCCTCACAATCTCTTCCTCTTCAGCTTGACCTTCACACTCACTACCCACTGCCTTAACTGTATCAAAAACTGTCCCCCAAGTGCCCTTCTTCTCTAAAGCTCTTCCTCCCCAATCTAAACATTTGTCCCCCCACCCTCTCTCTCTCACACACACAAACTATAGTCTGGCTTCTCTTATCATGGTCTCACCACCCTGCTTCCAACCCCAACGTGTAAAAACAGGCCTCCCTCCACCGACAGGGCACTTCCCAACCCCCAAATTCACACCCCTGCCTTGGGCACCCTACCAGGGGAAACACCTGCAGGGACATGCCCAGGCCTCAGATCAAGGGGAGAGGAGGGAAAGGGGAATGAAGGCACTCACTGGCATTACTATCAGCCAGGCTGTTGAGGCTACTGGAAATGTCCCTTCGCCGAAAGAGACAAACAACCTTTGCTTCCACATTTCCATTTGCAGTCTAAAGGAGAGGGAAAAATGTGGTAGTGAATATTGGTCATTTGAAAGTGGAAGACCTAAGGAAAAGACTAACAGGAGTCAATAAATTACTAAGGGACCTACTTCCAAATCCTTTTCCTTAGCCCCCAAGAGAGAACAGTAAAGTTCCCATTAAGTTCCCAATAGTCTTTCCTGATTACATCAAATGAATGAATGAATGAATGCATATGAATGGGTATTTAAGATAGGATCCTCTCTCACCTGAAGTTAGAGATCCCAGAAGAGACCACTTGGGGTGGGGGACTGGGTTCTGCTTGACTTACCTTGTTGAGCTCCTCAATCCGTCTAACCAGGTAAGGATTGCTGGAGGAGTTCTCAAAATAGACGTAATCTGTAGGAGGGGGTGGGGAAGAACCGGGAAGATCAGAAGAGGTAGGAGAGCCAGAGTACCTGGAGGAAAGTCGGCTTGAGTGGACCAAAAAGAGACAAGGGTCCAAGTAGAAGGGACGCTGAGATGTAGAAGTGGACACTAGAAAACAAGGATGCCCCCCACCCCTGCTGCACTTAATTCTAAAATCAGATCTTCACTCAGATGTAAGACTTAACAAAGTTATGAGAAGTAAGGGTTCCCCTGCAGTCCCCACAACTTAGTGATGGAGCTGCACCCACGTCGGCAAACCGAGCAACTGTTCACTCTAGCGCAGAGTTCCCCGCCCCCCACTTTGCTAACCGAGGCGCACAAAACACCGAGAGGAGCAAACCTCCAGGCAGCTCCCCCGCAGGTGGCCAAGCGGTCGCCCTGGCCCTCGCGTCCCGTCGCTGCACTGTCAGCCCCTTCAACAAGTTTCCCAAGCCCACTCCCTGCCCCGGGTTCCCGAAGCAGCCCTCAGAGTGCCGTCGAGGATGCCCGCAGCTCTCTGGGAGTCCAGATGCCCGACCGCGTCGCCGTCGCGGTTCCGGTTCCGGTCAGTGCTCCAGTCCATGCCGCCCCAGACGTGGCTTCTTGCGCCACCGGGTGCCGAGCCTCTCTGGTCCCGGCCCACAACCTCTCCCGCCCCGGGTCCCGCACCTCTGCGCCGGGTACTCACCCCCCACCCGGTACATATTGGCCGCCATGGCCGTTCCCGCCGCCGCCTCCGGCCGCACAAAGGGGTCCGGGAGGCTCGCGGGGGCAGGGCTCGGATCGAGGCGAAGCCAGCAGCGCGGGGATGGCGCTTCGCGGGAATCTCGGTGGGGTCTGCGTAGCCAGCAGCTCCGCTGCCTCAGCCGTCGCGGTTCATTCTGGCCCGCGCTGTCGCTGCTGCTGCTATCGCCTCACGCCCGGGACGCCGAGGCCGGCGCCGGTCCTCTCGGCTTCTTCCGGAATGAGCTCGTTCCTGCCGGACCCGAGCCAGGCTCCGGTTTCCCCCGCCCTCGCCGAGTCCCACCAGACGTTGGGCTCTGCCGGCCGCGGGTAAGGTTTGCCCTGCCCGCCTCGCCTCCTTCCGGAACACCTTCGGCGGATCCGGAGAACAAGGCCCGGCGCTCGGCTCAGGTCGGAGAGCAGGACCCCACAGATCGGCCGCTTCCGGAAATGGTTCGGCTCTTTTCGGCCAGCCGGGGCCCGGCGCTCGATTATTTCCGCTTCAGCTCGGCCCCTCCTCCGAGAGCGGGAGAGGAGCGGAGCTTAACTCTCTCCTCTCCGGAACCCTACAGCTTCGACTGCGGCCCCGAAACACGCGCGCCCTCGCACTTCGCGTGGTTATTTGCAAGCGGCTTTGCCTGCTATTTGCATGAATGGTCTGCTCTCCCTTACCCTTTCCGCACTCCTCTTTATTCCTTCATCCGCACCCCACAGGGTCCCAGAGGCGCCCAGCCGCGCCCCACGAAAGCACCGGGAAGCGACTTTGTTTTGTTTATTGCCCCTCAGCAGGCAGCGGGAGTCAGGGCCTGGGCTGGGGCTGCCCGGCTCAGCCAGCGGGTCTATACAGTGTGTGCAAGGGTGCCTTTTGCCCCCTCCAGGGAAATGCGCGGTCGGGAATGTCTCGAAGTCGAGGAAAAGGTCGGCCCAGGAAAGGGTCGACCCGCGGTCCTGGGGGATTATTCCGGCAGGGCGGGGCCATGCCGCAGGGCCAGTCGGTCCTGTAAGGCAACGAATGGTCAGACGTCGAGGGAGGAGGCGGGAGAGAGGGAGGGGGTTCGAGAGGGCGTGGCGGGCGACTGCCCGGCACCCCCAGCGCCCAGCACTCTCCACTGGAAGATGCTGGCGTCCTTGCCGCCTAGCGAGACGAGGTACGAGTCGTCATGGGTGAACCGGACACTGGTCACGTGGCTCCCGTGGCCCCCATACATGCGGCTCGGCGCCTAGGCCAGAAGAAAGGTTGGGTTGCAGTGGTGGGGGGGCCCGAGGAGCCAGACCACCCGTCCTTGGCGGCCCCCAGCAGCCTCACCTTGGCGCGTGCACATGGGTACTGGAAGAGGTGCACTTTACAGAAGTCGTCGGCCACCGCCACCACGCGCTCGTTGTGGGAGCGGCACAGGGAGTTTATGTCTGTCCCATCAGAGCCGTCCGGCCACACGCCTAGCACAACGGCAGGCCTCAGCCTGGCATCTTCCCTACCACCACCCACGACTCCAAACTGCTCCATTTTCGGAGCTCAAGCTGCCACTGCCACCCACCGGCTGCGTTCCAGGCAATCCTTCCTGGTCCCCAGGGCTGGAGGGACCTCCCGGGTTGATCTGCGGGTTTCTTGCCACCCACCCAACACACACCCAGCATTCTGAGCCTAGAGCCGGCTCCAGCTTGTCTGCCCACCGCTCCTGCAGGGTTCTGGGTCCCCGCGCCCCTGCTTACCATAGACATGAAAGCCCAGTACACAGGTATAGGTAGCCCATTCCCGGTCTCGGCTCTCATAGCGATTCCTCAGCAGCTTACAGCCTCCAGCCACGTCCCCTGGGGAGAGGGGAAGAGGGAGTCAAACTAACTCAGTTCTCATCCTGCTCTCAGTCAGGAAGTGCCAGGAAAGGCCTGGCTAGAAAGACTGGCTTATGGCCAGGTGACATGTGAATTGGTCACAGCGTAGATCCTTTAACCCCCACACCTGCAGAACCCAGGGTGAAACCCACCCTTGTGCTCCCTGAGTTCTTGCTGAAGTTCTAACAGCTTCTCATGAGTTCTTCTCCCTAGATAAGTCAGCCCCTCCACACCTACCCTGAGAAACTTTTCCAAAACAATCTTTTCTTAGTGCATTTTTCAACTCTCTCAAGTCCTTGTGGGAAGAAGACACATGGTGTGAAACTGCATGTGGTTTTTTGTTTTTTTCAAATCACAGAATTCCTCCTATGTGGGTAATTCCAACTCCACTTTAACCCCATCTCCACTTCTGCATATGACAGCCCCTCTGCTTGAAGTGCCCCCAAGTATTCTCCTTCATCCCATCACAACCAGGAACCCCCCACACAAATAAAACCTACTCCGATTATCCTCTTCCTATGTCCTCCCCCACTTCCACTCACAGTAAAGAATTTCATAGTCCCCAGAATTGGACATGATGAAGTTCCCATCCTTGGACCAGTCCAGGTGAGTAATGAAGCTGGAGTGACCCTAAGAACAGGATCAAGTTTGGTTGGTTGGTTTTGTTTTTGATACTGGGGATTGAACCCAGGGGCACTCAACCACTGAGCCACATCCCCAGTCATTTTTATATATTCAAAGACAGGATTTCTCTACGTTGCTTAGGGCCTTGCTCAGTTGCTGAAGATAGCTTTGAACTTGCGATCCTCCTGCCTCAGGATTACAGGTGTGCACCATAGGTAGATCAGGAGTTTAAACAAAACAAAATAAATGTAACCTTCACTTCCCATCCCCAGACACCCCTTTAATGTATCAGACCCCTGTGAGTATACCCATTGTTAGCATGCTCCAACCTCCACTCAGCTGCCTTACCACACAGCGGCCAAAGCGGCTGGACTTGGCACCATCACTGGAAACACTATAGATGTAGATCATGTTGTCATGGGAACCGATGGCTAGGTACAACCCATCTGCAAAGAGAGGCACTCAGAGAAAGAGAAGGGCCAGGGAAGGACCTGAGTCCAGGGTGGGGGTGTCTCCCACCTGGGCTGTACCGGACAACTGAGAGCTGTTCATTGCCATCAGTGACATCAGACACGATCTCTCTGGTCTCTGTGTCCAACACCAACCACCTGGAAGGAAGGGACGGGGAGGAAGATAGGGAAGTGAAAAGGCAGGATGTGAGGATCCTCAGAGAGGCCCTGAGTAGGGTAGGGGGTGGCAAATCAACAACCTCAAAAAGGCTGTGATGTAGGAAAGAGGTCACCACTATAGTCTTAGCCTAGTAAAAGGGAAGGGCCTACCACAAGGACTTTGTGGAATTGGTAAGCCTGTCACTTCCCTGTGTTTGTCTCCCCTGGGCCTCTCCTATTGCACTGCTTCTCCATCCTGGGCTGCCACTTCCTCCACTCCCTGGGCCTGGATGAAGGAGTGGCTGGGGGAGGGGTGAAGACAATTATCCCAGAACAGGGGAAGAGAAGCAGTTTTCAGGGAGAAGCACCAAGGAATGGAAAGGCACATTTGGGCTCCTGAGCTGCCTCAGCCACTCTTGTCCCCTTTACCAGAAATCCTTCCCAAACCTCCCTGCTTTCCCTCCCAGGAGTCCTGGGCCCTCTCACCTCCCCGTGTTCAGTCCTACTGCCACGACTGCCCCACTCGGGTGGAAGTCAGCACAGAGACCTGTCTCCTGGGAGGGGAGAAGGTGAATTCAAGGTGCCTTTCTAGTGAGGGACCTTTCTTGCCATCTTGGTAACTTCAAAGCCTCCTTCTCCAAGGAGAAGATGGGGGAAGAGAGGGACAGAAGACCTATGATGGAGGCAAGGTCACTGGAGCCAAAAAAAGGGTGGTACTCAAAACCTCTAGCCACCAGAAGAAAGGCCGCCAGCTGTGCTATAAATTGACCACACAGTTGCTGGATCAAGAAGAGGCCTGAGGCGGCAATGCTCAGGGGCACTAGGGGCATCAGCTTTTACCAGTCAGTACAGTATATCTGAGTAGCCATACCAGTACAAACTGGCTGCCTCTGGAGCACAGAAGGAGAAGCAATGTTGGGGAAGGAACGGCCACAGGAGACATGGTGTGTGTGACACAGAGATCAGAGATATCTGGCTGTACCTTGAGGTCCATGCTCCAGGCAAGTGCATGGGCCTCCCCATCCCATAGGCAGAGCTGCCGGTCATGGCCGCAGGTGAGGAAGCGGTTCTGGGAAGGATGTGTACAGAGACCCCAGAGCTCATCCGTGTGGCCCTGCAACACAGTATGACCTATCACCACGGTCCCTCCCCCAATACCTCTTCCCTCCCTCCTCCTCCTGCTCTTGGCCCCCCAACCTGGATCACAGGGGAGAAACCCTGAGCCAGATCTCCCCTCAGCAATGCATTCTTCGTGGTTCCCACTAGCAGCTCAGAACCAAGCCCTTCAGCAATGGCCCGCACAGCCCCAAAGTGTTCTGGAATCTGCAGAGTGGTAACAGAATGTCAAAAGCCTACTAACCATTCCTCTTCCTCCTTCCACCCTTGATCCCAGTCCAAGCCTCACCTCAGCTTCCTGGAGGGCCACCAACCCAGGCCCCCACTGTACCAACCGTCGGTCCCGCCCACCACCACTCAATACTGTCCCATCCCGACGGAGACACAGGGCGAAGATGGAACCTTCGTGAGCATGGGCCTGGGCCACAATTCCGTAGGTCTCTGTTGGCAAAGCCCCAGAGGTCATGATCTTGGGGTACAGATGAGTAATAAAAAAGGGTAACCTAGGCTGCCAAAATAGACTAAGACTCCCAGCTACCGAGTGTCTTCTGAATACTATCTCTGATCCTCAGGACTGCCAATGTGCCTATTATTCTTCCCATTTTACAGACAGGACAACCAAACTTAGAGAAGTGAGGTGACTTTCTGAGGTCAGAAAACTAGTGGCCAAACTAAGATCCAGCAGACCCAAAGCCCCAGCCCTCTCTTCTTTGCCATGCTGGCCCCAGAGAACTTCCAGCTCTCAAGGTAAAAAGATGGGGCACCCTCTCCTCTGATCCTACAGACCCCTCTGGGGTAAAAATGTTCCAGATGTCAGCCCCAATCACATACCTTTGGCCCCACCCCTGCCTGGGGTCCTGGCATCAGAGAGGCTCCGGCCCCAGGTGAGAATGTTCCCCTCTGAGTCCCCAGTGAGAATGTCTCCATCAGGAAGGAACACAAAGCAAGGGATAAACTTGGGTTTCTTGTATTTCTGGGGTAAGGACAGAGAGGAGGGGTCAAAGGGATGGGCAAAGACAAGAAGCCACAGGACAGTTGGGGGTTGGGGAGCCTTAAGGTCTACAATACCCAGACCAATCCTTCCAGCTCCACTCTTCCCCACCTTACCACCTCTCACTCGTCCACATCTCACCCCAAAGACACCCTGTTTCCGGGCGAGGGTCCCATTCCCAGGAACCCCTGCTCCACCACTCCAGTTCCAGAAGTGGACATGAGATTTCCCACTGGTAACAATGCAGCTGCTGTCACGAGGGCTGAAGCCAACGGCCAGGACTGAGTCATTTGTACTCTGAAGGGAAGACACTAGATTCAGCCACCCCAACCCCTGTGCACCTTCCATCTCCTTGAGTCTTCAATCTGCATCCTGACAGAATACAACTGGCCTGCAGAAGCCCAGCAGCCTGAGCACAGCCCTTCCTTCATGACCTGGGCTGAGTATATAGCCCAGAACTACAGCACTTGCCTAGCATGCTAAAGGCCTCCCAAGAAAGCCATTCCCAGTGCCACAAAGGAAAAAAAAAAAAAGTCCCTGGTTCCTTAAGAGTTTGAATCCCTATGACTCCTGATTAATCATACTATGCCTCCTGAGGACAGAACTCCCATAGTCCCCATTTCACAGATGGACAAACCAAGACTTAGAGAGGCTAGGAGGTTTGCCCCCAAGTGACCCAGCAAGAAAGGAAGTAAATGCACAAATAAGTCTGGAGCTCTCTGTACTCTACCAGTACCAACCTTCCCCACCCTCAACCTTAAGACCCTCGAGGCCACCTGGACTCCTCACCTTGATCTCAGCCAGCTTCATTCCTCGGCTGCAGTCCCACACTGACAGCATGTGCTCATTGGAATCATCCACCACACAAAGAAAAGCACCCTGATCCTGAAGATGAGGGGACACATAAGAGGAACTATGAGAGCACTGGAGATCTGGGGGTTCATGGTCATTAGGCAGGGGGTGCTATTACAGATGAGGAGGACAGAAGTTGACATATGTTCCTTTCTCTGGAGAACTGGCTGAGCAGGGCTCAGGAAGACCAGAACTTCTGAGGGTTCCTGGTGAAGTAGAAGAGTGGAGTCCCTGGGCAAGAAATAGGGGTCTGGAGGCTTCTTTGGAGTCAGCTCACCACTGCTGAAAAGGCCAGAGCCCCAACACCACGCTCGAAGGCTCCCAGTCCAATCTCCTGCAGCTTCAGCAGGGTCTCTGAGTCCCAGATGTGAACCACAGGCTGCAGGGGCTAGAGGAGGGGAAGGAGTTAGGGCTGTGCAGAAAAATTGGGCTGGGATTTCATCCTGTGTTCCACTACTTACCTTCCCATCCTTGTCCACTCCAGCTGTCTGTCCCGAGGCTACACGAACACCATCAGGGTGAACAGCAAGGCTAAGCGGGAGAGGAAACACTCTAGGGAAGGGAGTCTCTCTCAAGAGCAATCAAGACCACTCCTTGCTTGCAACTATCTCTCCTGCTCCTCCACACCCAGCCAGAGCCCTTTTCCTACCAAGCCCACCATCCCCACGCCTCAGGACCCTCACCAGCGAACGCAGTCTGTGTGTCCCCGGTAATGTCTCTGGCCACCACCTCCAGGACCCCCTGGGCCTCCCCCAGGCCGATACAGCACCACCACACAGGCAATGAAGTAGACCACCTCCCCAGAGCGCAGCACAAACAGATTAGAGCGGGAGTCACGACCCCTGTACCCATAACTGGAGTGGGGAACAAGGTCAAGGAAAGGGTTGGATCAAGAGCAGGAGAGGAAGAGGGAGGAAGCTAGAGCTTCTGGCTAGCAGCACAACTGGCAGAAGGCTGGCAGGGAAATTTCCAGGGAGCTCCCTGCCCCCCACAGATCCAGGAAGAAACTGTAAGGAATGGCACAGGGTCCCAAGATGGGAAAGGGAGGTTCCCATGGGACTGGAGGGGATAGGATACACCCAGTCCAGGCTGAGGGTCTCCGGGGGTGGGCCACTGGGCAGCTCCTCAAGGCTGCGGATGCCAGACGGGATGTACATGGTAATGGGGCGACCACGAAGGAACATTTTCACTGAGATGCCTTCTATAGAGAAAAGGGGGGTGTTAACCATCACCTTACAGCCCCCTCCCAGAAAGCCAGAGCAGAACTCCACCCACCACATCTCACAGATCCCCCCAAACAGCTCCTGGGGCTACAGCCCAAACCCTAATATGGTAACCTAACTTCTTCCCTCCATCCCTCTGTACATACCCAAATTGTAATTGCTCCTCCTTGATCCAGGACCCCCAGGGCTGGATAGAGGGTCTTTGCCCCCTCCGCGGCTGTTTGGAAGAGTGAAAAATATAGGGACTAGTGTCAGGACACAAGAGACCAGTTCCTCTAGAGATCAGTCACCCCTGTTTGGGATTTTCATGGTATTAGGCCTAGAGTAGATGGGGACTTTTTACTTCTTCCACATGAGATGAGAAGACAAGGCCACAAAGCTTGTAGGAGGATGTATGGGCCAGTGACCTTTCCTTCAGTCCTCCAAGCCTCTGGCTATCAACCTTTTTTTTGGTACTGTGGATTTAATCCAGGAGTGCGTAACCACTGAACCGCATCCCCAGCCCTTTTCATATTTTATTTTGAGACAGGGTTTTGCTAAGTTGCTTAGGGCCTCACTAAGTTGCTGAGACTAGCTTTGAACTCATGATCCTCCTGCCTCAGCCTCTGAGCTTATGGGATTACAGGTGAGTGCCATGGTGCCCAGCATTTTTTTTTTTAATTTTACTTCATGTAGTGCTAGGGATGGAGCTTAGAGCCTCACCACATGTTAGGCAAGTGCTCTATCCCCAGACCATAATTATTGACCTTTTTATTTCCCCATCTGTAAAACAGAGCTAAAGTGAATCCAAATATATACCAGCCCTGCCTTTCAAGTATCTGGGAAATAAGGAAGAAAGTTTTTATCTTTGAAGAGGAAAGTGATGGGTGAATTCCAGAGATCCTGTATTTGGATGATATCTCTTCAGAGAATAAAGTGGAGACCAAGGAGAGACACGGCTAACACGAACATCCAGGTACACACTGAAATAGCTATGTGCAGTCACTAAGCTACCCCCTTTTCTCTAGAAGAAAGTTGATCTGTACTTGATACATTCTGAGGAAAGGGCAAACCAAAGCTCTGAGGACAGTCATCCATGAAAATCATGACAGCTTTTAGAAAAAACTCCAGGAATCTTGGAAGGTATATTGTGATATGGTAAAATGGGAAGGGGAATGGAATCAAGAAGAGCTGGGTTCAAATCTGGACTCTAGCTATGTGATCTCAGGTAAATGACTTACCCTCTCTGAGCCTGCTCCCTCACCTGTGCAATGGATAGCATGAGACCACCTACCTCCCAATATATTGTAGGGACTGAATGAGATGGAGGGTTTAACACAGGACCTGATGATACACAGCAGGTGCCCACAGGAGTGCCTTTCTTCCTGTTGGGCAATGAGATCCCCAATCCCACATAGGGAAGTTAGGTGAGGGATGTGGAAATCAAGAAAGAACCAGAGCCTGGGGTGCGTGTGTTGACGGGGAGCCTTGCCCACCTCTCTGTGCTCCCTGACCGCAATAACAGGTTGGCGGAGGATGCTGCCTTCCTGGAGAGTTTCTGTCGGGGCCGCTCTGAGGGGGATGAAGAGGAGGAAGAATTTCTCCGTGGCCTGATGGGAGCAAAGTGAGCAGGTGAAGGTCATGACCTCCAGTCACGCCCCCAAATTCTCACACCCCTCCCCAACTTTTGCCACAAGACACCTACGTTTCAGTCCGCTGTGTGGGCTGCACAGGCCTGAGAATCCCAGGGGGGCCAGGGGAGCCAGCCCCACTGCTGCTGCTGCCGCCTCCTTCAGACTGGGTCCCACTAGGCTCCTCGCTGCCCCCCTGAGAGGCTGGGGGCCCATTGCTTAGACAAGGGGGCTCAGGGGATGGCTCCATCTCCACCTCTGTCTCCGTCTGGGTGCCTCGGCTCACCAAGGACAGGCTGCATGTGGGTGGTAGTCCTGGGGGCGCTGCAGGGCTGCTGGGAAGGCAGCGAATCAACCTGATGCCCAGGAGGCCCAGGAAAGAGGAGGAAGGGAATGTGCCAACATGCATACCTGTCCCTCATAGGAGCTAGTGTGCCATAGCCCTGCAGAGAGGTGGGGGTGCCCTGCAGCCGCAGGAGGCGAAGGGCTTCTGCAAGTGCTGCCTTTACCAGCTCCATCTCCTCCTCCTGAACCCGAAGCCTCTGGTTCAGGGACTGCAAGGTGTCCTGAGCAGGGCCCTCACCTGGGAAAGGGGCAAGAAGCACTCAGAATGTGCTGCCACCTGGAGAAGAGGTTGAGGGGATTCTATCCCCCAATATCCTTACATTTGCCCAGTAGTACTGCCCCTTCCAAGCAGCCCCAGGCTTGGAGGCTCGTCCAGAGAGAAGGAGAAGGTCCAGAGGGGAGGAGAAGGCTGTAGAGGACCAAGGGCCTCCTTCTGGCAGGACAGGCAGAGAGTCTGGCAAAGCGCCCTTCCTGCTGCCTTCTCAGCCTCCGCAAAGAGGGAGTACCATAGAGTACCAGGGGTGAAATATGGAGTACTGCCGAAGACCGTGGGAACCACGGATCCGCGGTACCGACAGACCGCAGTCCTTGCACCCCCACAGAAAGCTCAGGTCTCCATTAAAAGCAATATCACCCGAGCTGGAGACATCCGTAGAGAAGAGGGGACAGGACAGTAGTCATACTTAGGACCCACAGTACAAGAAAAGAGATCGAGGGTGACAGGACAAGGGGCAATGGTGACTAATAGTCATAGTGAGCGTCCCAGTGTAATAGTGGGGGTCCGAAGTAAAAAGACCCGGAATACCATGGGAAGAGGCCCGGAGTAACAGGGAGCAACGAAACTTCGGGGACCCAGAGTAACATGGAAGGTAGAATGACGTTAGGGAAATCCGAAATGACAGCAGGAGAACCCAAGGAACTAGGTGGGCAACCTGGGGAACTGTGGAGGATGTTCAGAGCCCCTGAAGCGGAGGAGCACGCGGGCATGCCACCAGACAGCCGTCCTGCACTGGCAGCGCCCGACGGGCCGGCGCTCCGGGAAGGGGCACGCCGCCCGCCCCGCCCCGTACTCACCGGGCCCCGAGGCCCTGTCCATCCGGCCCCCGGTTTGCTGCGAGCGGCAGCGGCGGAGGCGTCTAAGCCGCGGGGGCCATGGCCGGGGAGAGGGGAAGGGGAAGCACCCCGGGGCGCGCGCGACGGCGTGCCGTGCCACCCCCCGGGGGCGCTGTCGGGCGCAGGGAAAGGGCCTGGAGGGGGCGCTGT